ATATATATAGAGATATATATAGAGATATATATAGAGATATATATAGAGATATATATAGAGATAGATAGATATATATATAGAGATATATATAGAGATAGATATATATATATAGAGATAGATAGATATATGTGGTTACAGAGTGAGTGTTGATTGTTTTTGAGCGATGGCAACTTTTCCAAACTGTGACTGAAGAAGAACTAAGACTCTTTACTTCAGTAAAAACACCAACACTGTAAAAAAATACTGCATTACAAGATCTAAAATAAAAGTACTGAACTATTACAAGCAAAATATACTCTAACGTATCAAAGGGTGAAAGTATTACTCTGATTCTATACTCGTGTATCTGCTCTATATACAGTCAGCTGGTTTAATTCAGTGGATCACAACACAAACTAACTTCTCCTCACAACCATCGTACTGCGGAGGGAGAAGTCTCATATCACAAAACCCAAGCGAATAAAACCAAAAGTATCCGTTTGGCTGGATTCTACTTGAACTAAATAAGACAATATGTTGTTTCTGTTCTGATTTGGGTGAGCCAATCAGTTCAAAACATTTAATCTACAGTACTGCTTGAAAAACAACTGTAAAATGCATTAAAGACTAATGGTGCGTATAGACACAAATAGACACGCGTAAACAAGAATTCAAGCATGGATCTATGTATTCGTGAGTATCTCCAGCAGCAGGGCGGTATTTGTGAGATTGTGTCAAAATAAACCTTTACCGAGTGCAACAGTGTGGCTCAATGTGTTTTTAAGATTTTTGGACAACAATTGAGCTCTATGACACAGAGGAATAACATATCAGGCTTTGGATACACAGATAACATGTGTTAATAGGATCACTTCATTGTTGCCTTTGGTCTTTTCATTGGATGTGTTGACAATAACGAAAACACTAAATATGACAAAACTTATCCATTCAATTTACAAAAAAGAAAAAAAAGCATAAAATCCCGTACCTTGTCGTTCATGGCGAGGATGACCATGAGTTTTCTGAAGATGGTGATGAAATCCAGGAACAAGTCCACGCAGTGCCTTAAAAAACAAAGTATACCAGAGTATGTTTCAGAATATCATATGCTTTTTGAGGAAGAAAAGAATTGCCATATATCATTCAATATCTCTCAAATAAGAGCATCTGGCTATTAAATGTATCCATTCATTTTCTGAGGGCTGAGCTCAGGTTGCTGCTCTGATATTTGGACCCATCTTTACTTACTTTTAGGAACTGATGCTAAGCTACACCTCGCTATGGAATGATGCATTCACATGGTATTTGGTTAGGAGAAAATGTTCCTCACCAGATGTAGTCCTTGTCTCCATTCTCTGCTTTCTCAATGATGAGCTGAGTGTCAAACAGGACGAAGCCGCACATGATGAGCAGCCCGAGGTACATGTGTGCCTGTCGGAACATGTGAAGAACGTGATTAACGCCAAAACATTGACACAGCTGATCAATAGTTGAGTGAGGAATGGTGCCACTTGGGTCAGCTACCTTAAACAGCATCACGGATCCAAAGAACATGTTCATCACAGACATCAGGAAGAGGAGGGAAAGGCCAGACATCAGGGTGCCTTACAAGAATTAAATGGGTAACATGTAAGTATTGCTGTAAAGGGTTGAGAAGAGAAGCATACAGTGCAACGGGTCACAACGTTTATAAACAGCCTTTACCTCCAAGGAACAGGTAGCTCCTGCGTTTGGCATAGAGAGCGCTGAGAGTGAAGCAGATGAAAATCACAGAGGTTCCCATGAAAGCCGTCATGATGATGCTGAGAAAAGAACCAGAACAAAATGGAAGTTTTCAGTAAATTCCCACTTTCAATTATATGTGTACAGAGAGATGGCTACCAATCATCACACAATAATCTTCTCATTGCCGTTTAGTTTTAGAATGTTTAACAGCTGGCAACTAACTGACTAAAAGTTAATGTGCAAGCTTTATACACCGAGTGACTTTTCACATACCTCGGATTGACAGCGATGACAAAGTCCAGTGTGGGGCCAAGGCCGACACCTGGAGAAGGAAAACGCTGGTTATAGACTCTTACATGACCGTAAATTAACAAAGACAGCAGTTTGTTAATTTAAAATCAGGTACCCTACCTGTGAGGAAGGCGAATCCTGCGAGGATAGCCAGTCTCTTCTTCTCCGTTTCAGAGTTGTGTGGCGTCATGGCAAGCCAAAACATCATCCCCAAGGAGCCGAGGACAGACAGCAAACCTCCCTGAGAACAAGGCCACACGGTGAAGATGGAGCATCCAGTGCACCATGTGTTGGTAACGTCACTGAAACTATAGCTGTTTGGTTCCTTCACAATAAGACGTTAAGATAAGAGAGAACTCGTCTGAAAGGCCTTTTTCTGTCTCATCACATCTTATGTCATTCTGATTTAAATTACAGACGAGTACTTTGACATGTGGTACCAGCCCCACTATAAAAGGAGAACACAATATAAAAGTCCCTTGTACTGGTGTAGCAGACAAAAGACCAAAATAGCAGTTCTTGCTTTTTGTTCTCTCACATTTTGTCTGGAGTTTTAGATGCTCATCAGTTTTACTTATAACTTTTATGTCACTTCTAACCAATTTTTTTCTAAATATAATGATCTTATTGGCTAGGTCCTATACATTTCCATGTTGATACTAAGAAGCCCTCTAATTTGTGATATTGGGCTATACAAATAGAACTGAATTGAAACAGAGGAATTTCACTTTCAGTCATTTATCCAAAATACACTCAGTATCTTCTAAAACTGTAAATCCCAAAATAATGCATTTTTCAGGGAAGACGACGCACCACATTTCATAGAAAATGTAATTTATTTAATTGATGTAGCTATTGTTTAAAACATCAACTAAATGAATCATAGAAAGATAAGCATTAAGATCTGGGTAGCTTACCAACTTTGTTGAACAAACACTGGATAATGATGGACTTCAAAATGAAATTACCTATAAATCAAACTATGACATTTATCTGTCATACATGTTGCAACAACCAGGTATCTAAAAAAAAGCACCAAGTGGTTTAGAGTCAGCAGGACAAAGTATTCGTGTCAGTACTTTGCCTACGGGCACTATTTGCATAGACATACAGGATCAACCTGGACAAGTAGACTCCGTAGCATCTTGTTAGCGTTACCTGGAAGAGACGTGTGACGACATGGACGTAGGAGCCAGCTGCAGACACAAACATACAGAGTGCCAGGCTGGAGTACACATTCTTCAAGTGCACCTGGGTGGAATGAGATCTGTAAAAAAAGATAAAAAAGGCACTTGAGTTATAGTGGATAAAGTATGTGACTGAGATAGCAATCTACTGCATGCTTACGCACATTTGGGAGAACTTGAAGAGGGCGTCAAAGTTGATGTTGCGGTCAAACATGTTCATGATGGAACCAGGGCTCGTGAACTGAAGAGAGATTCTTGAACGAACACAGCAGAACAGAAACACAATTACACTTCAGTTCCAAATTCACCAGTAGAATCAAAGCTGTTTTATTTAACTATAGCTGCAGCATTCAAAAGGTAGCATATGTGTATCATTTGTTAAAGAGCAGTAGTGGAGAGCAATAGCTAGCTACACTTACTCAAGTACCTGGAAACTGTATTTACATTTGGTGCTACTTTTAATATTAACAATGTTTAAACAACACACAGGAACAGTTAAAATATGGTAGATTTAACTACCCAACAGTATACCATCCAATAATATAACACTGACACGGAAAGATTTATTCTATGATTAACATTGCTATACTTTCGCTTGACTTAACCGAGATTTTCAATGAAGCAGATACACTTTGAAGTATTACGGTAATGTGCATGGCTACCCTTACTTAGACGAAGTTAAAATAACTTGAATACTCCTTCCAAGCATGTCGCTTATTAAACGTGCGCAGTTTAAAAACCTCATGGAAGACGGTTGCCTTTGGAGCTTTCTGCCAGAAATGGTTTATTTTTAAACACAAAATATCAACTGCTTCGAAACCTATCCAAGTAGGTTTGTAAACTAAACTGAAGGAGATATCTGGCAGAAAAGCCCTGTCGTTAGGTTCTCCCGTGTGCGTTGTATTACGGTTTGTGACATTAAATTGCACAACAGGTTATCACTAGAGTTAACTGATAAGCGCTGACTGCTTAACACGCTAACAAGCTTCTCTAATAACATATTCTCAACTCGTGTTAACGGCATTGCCGTTATCTGGCAACAAAATTAAAAGCAACTCAACTTAATTAACGTTAAACACGTCGTTAGAAACAGGAGAATCGAGCAACACCCCAACACTATGATTGTCGTATGAGGATATCATATTAACAGCTAAGCGTTGCTTAGCTAACAGTTAGCTAAATACCGAGCAGCTTGGCTAACTACGCTAACGTTTTAGCTAGCTCGTTTGTCAACACAATTCGACGTCTCGTTCATTCTCAAGCACATAACGCCAGCACAGTTACAGATAACAGTTACTATTAATACGATAACACCAAAGCTTTTATCACAATATGTTATAATAGCGCTTACATTTGCTTACTCCGCTAACCAGCTAACAAACAGTTTGGCAGCCGTTCTTCTTCCTGCTGTACGTGTCAGTGGCCTGATGGCGTCACAATAGCCACGCCCAGAAAGCCGTAGTCCCCCATTCCCGTGTGTGAAATACGGTTATTTTATAAATAAATAAACATGTCGTCTATATTACACTTACTGAACGTTGAATCAAAGTTGTCGTTACCCCAATACATTGTTAAGAAACCTTTTTTATTAAAAGATACTTCCTGGTGTGTCACCGAGTAATGTCCCCGTTACACCTAAAATGGCCGACTCATAAATTTAACTGCACCATTTCAAACGGCAAGAAAACAACGACTTTCGTGTTTGTTAAGCAGTTTGCAACTTCGACCTCTCCGTTTTATAAACGCTGTGATTCAAAGACTAGGTTCAAGCTCTACTGTGAAATAATCAAACTAAAATAAATGGATTCGTAGGAGTTTAAATGAGTGAATCTTGATGAATCATTACTAACATGATGCAACGAGATGCAACAAATATTTTCACTGAACTGTTATGGGTTAGAGGTGTCGTTTTTCTTTGATATGAAGGCAAGAACATTTTGCAATTAATAGCATTATTGTTGTATTCATATTATTACAAATTATTTAAATTAATCAGTTGTTATAACTATTGTTTTCCTTTATATTTTATTATTATTATTTTCTAAAATGCTTTCTGTTTCTTGCAATGCCTTAATATCATAATACCAAACTAACTGTTTTGTTTACTTTTGGATTTCATACCCTGGACTTTCTATCACAAATCTTAAAATGAAAAGTAGCTATAGCTGTCAGATCAATGTAGTGGGGTAAAAAAGAATAACAGTTGTCTCTGAATAAGTATAAGTAGCATAAAAGGTACATTATTTGAGTAAATTCCACCACTGTACAGGTTGAAAATATAAAATGTGTAAGATAAGTTTTGAGTGGCCAGTGTATGGATATGTTCATCTGTGCAAGTAGTATTGAGAGATGGATGAAAATAATATTTTATATTTACTTTTTCTCTAGTACTGTAGTGACCCAAATATGTGAGTAGAACAACATGTATTTAAGACCATATTGATTTAAAAAGATACTTAATTGTTGTATAAGAGGACATATAGTAAAATGTATTCCTTGTCCTTTAGTGTCACCGGGGAGAAAAACATATACAAAAACTGTACAATATAACCAATTTTTATTATAAAATAAAAACTGGTAGCACCTTGTCTTTTAGAGTTTTGGTCAGATTGGGTAGACAAAATGAGTGTTTGACTTATTCTGATACACAAAGACAAATTGTGACTGTTTAAACAAATACTTTTGGTCATCACAACTGGTACAATTTCATTGTCATATTTTACTCGTTAACATGCAGGCAATAATTGCATCAGACATTGAACATCATAGAAAAACCATATTACCCAGGAAACACACCCCACAAAATATCTGTTGTACTGAATAAAAAATGGAAAAAGAAAATGTGTTCTTGCATGATTGAATCTTGGATTTACATCTATTTGTTTATTTGATTTAACTGCTTAAGTTTTGAATCATCTTTGAACTTAGACAGCAAAACGTGTGATTTTTAGGCACATATAAAACAGTTAAAACACAAGGCCAGCCTCAAAGTAGGCAAATGGATTACAAAACAATGTTAAGCATTAAGAAGTACTGGACAATACAGATTTTTGGCCAATAAATATAGAAAAACAACACTCACACATGCTAAAAAATTTGATATTTCAAGTGTTGCACTGCAAGTACCACAGCCGCACGGCATTACACTTGCTCTTGACAGTGTTTTTCTCACGCTCAGCATGACACATCAGAGTGTGTAGGCCTACAAATCTCTTCTCAGGCAGAACACCATTCTCTGTCCGGATTTCAAAGGCACAGTTTTTACTTTCAGCACTGTCAATATAAAACAAGTGCAAGTTGTTTGTCATATAGTAATAAAAGAAAAACATAGCAACAAACGAGTTATTATTAAACCTCGAATGAAAACTGGCTTTTCTGGTCGTCCTATGTGCCAACATATTCCAGTGTGTCTGCATTCAACGGACCATCAAAGACAAGATTTCACCCTGTTTACTTAACTTATACCAAACACTAATCCGACCACTAATGATGTATATTTGCATGGTTTGTAGAAATTATATTTATAGTACAAAAAAGTGAAATATACTTTTGTTTTGCTGCTCCCTTAAAAGGTAAATAAGGCTACAGTAATGTTTACATCTGTTGAATGCAATTATTGACTGGCTACTTAGGAGGTACTGTCCATGTACACACAGAACTGGGTTGCATAGAGGAACCACGTTCACCGTTTAAAAATAGATTTCCTTACAAAACAACCTATAAAAGAAATCAATAAATGTATAAAATCTGGTGGAAATTTTAAAAAAGAGCTGATATTATTGTTTTTTGTTGTTGTTGTTGTTCCATGAAAGGCACAAGAATGAAAAAAAAAAAAAGTCCAAAAGTCAAGTCAGGGCAGGCAGGCTTCTGCTTTGGCAAAATAACCACTTTAATATTGTAACTAGAGTGTGTGTGATGGGATTGCTTTGGTTGTTGATTCCTGCTCTTTCAAATAGTGGTTGTCAATAATCAGCACTGAGGTTCAGAGGAAAGGCCTCAAATTGCGATCTATAGTCTCAGCTAAGCCAAACACATTGTGTTTTTCAGGCTACGGATTTCCTTAACCCCCCCCCCACACGCTAATACAACTTTCTAAACAGAGGATTTTGTGCAGAGGCAAGGAGGACAACGTCTGAAAACTCTAGCATCTATTGTCAATAGAAGGTTCTATTGTAGCTGAAGAAAGTCTCAAGCTGGAGCTGAGGAGCGGGTCCACTGAGAGCTTAATGTCCACGAAGATGGTCCAGCTGGGTGTAAACATTATCGGCTTGGCTAAGTTCCTCAAACACAGGCAGAAGGTTGAGCAGCTCAGCGTCATCCACGTCATCAAACCATGACACCACGGGAACCTGTCGAAAACAAACAGTCACTCACAAACTGTTGGCATTTAAAATTAAAATAATCACATATGAACTGCACCTGGCAGCTGTGAATCAAAGTTTCACAACAGTCAATGTTCTGATCCAAAGAACGCAAGCAAATGTAACCAGAGGCGCACAATTTTAATCTCTCCTAAATGTGTCTTGCATGTGCAGTGTACGGTTTTATAAATCAGGATTTGAACTGAATTATTCAGCAACTATTATTTTATCAATAAAGTGGTTTTAGCCTAAATTTGGAGAGGACAAAACAAGACATTTGATGGTATTATAGTGGTTGTTTCTCACTATTTTGTAACTTTCCACTATTTTGTATATTACAAACAAAAAGATAAATCGAGAGTGCCAAGTTCTTGTTAACTTGTACAGAGGAGCAATGGATGTGCCCGGCCCACGACTGTAAGGCTGTGGCCCGGGCAGGTGGTTAAAACCGCCCGGGACATCATTGGTACCCATCTACCGAACATTATTGATACTGGTCACAAGAGGCACCTGCGAAGAGCTCAAAGGATATCAAAAAAGAAAATACCCACCCCAGCCATAGCCCGTTCACGCTGCTGTAAATGAACCTTGTAACCCGTGTAACCTTAAAATGTTCCTTTTAATTCTCAAAACATCGAGGACTAATTCTGCTTTCATTTTCATTTTGTGTGATTTATCAGTTTGTAAGAGCTAATCTCACATTGCCAGATGCTTCTCATCAAGCCCATTCAATCTTGTCGAAACATTTGGGAAAATAAGATCTCGACATTAGAAGGAGGTCCATGATATCTGACAGAAGCAGATAAAAACTCACAGCATTATTAGGGTGGAAGATGTAGGAGGCAGGAGAGTTATCCAGGATGAGGGTTTTTTGGAGATCTCTGCCCAGGCGGCTCAAATCTTTGACATAGCAGCCCTGGTGGAATACACAAGATTCCCGGAATAACCGGGTCCGGAAAACACCACACTGATCCAACAGGTCTGTCACTGGGTCTGCATACTGACGGAGGCAAAGGGAGGTGGGGAGCAGGTGAGGGGAAGAGCAGGTTGGACTAATGAAGCACTGTCAACTAATGGTGGATATTTATTTCTAACAGCAAATAGCTAAAACATCACACATCCAAAAAAATACATGAATCTGGATTAGGTTGCACCAGCTACATTCGTGTTGTAAAGTCACATTTAAGTTCTAAGTAAATACTAATACAAGTTACCAAGCTAACATTAGCTTTGTCAGTTGGTTCAGTTAGCTATGCAGCAATAAATATGAAATATTTACAACTAGTTTGTGTGTGTGGGGAAACCCATTTTAATGTAAATCTCCAGTGAGAACTTAAAAGGAGTTGATGCAAGCGGCTCCAGTAAACAAACTATAGCTTTAAACATGAGCAGGGCGTCTACTAAGGTGACTAACAGCATGTCAAGCAGCTGCTATGACACTACAAGGCAAGAAAAAGCAGAAAAAACTCTGACATGACATCAAACATCTGAACAAACAAATAGTGCAGAATACAAAGAGTCTATTTTGGGATCTGTTTCAGGATCTGGTGTACTGTACCTTTGCGAGACTGGCTGTAAACAGCACACATTCAAACAACTCTCCCATTCTCTGCAGGAACTCATCTACGTACGGCCTCTTCAGTACATACACCTGTAATACAAACAGACCATTAGTAAACAGTCCCACCAGCAGGACTTTTTAAATGTAATTTACATGTCTTCTGTCACATTTGTACTATGAACTTCTGTCTTCCGTCCGTCGGCTGCAAACGGCCAGTTCCTGAAACAAGTAATCAAGAATAGGCCGTACCAGTTTTAACCAGCCTATCCTGGATTACTTGAACCAGGCCGAGGCCCACGGTGGATGCTTCCCTCCAGATAGGCTCCCAGGAATTACATTTCTTAGTTAATTACATTTCCACATGTCCACTAGTGAGAAGCTGAACAAATGGTCCAACACAGTGTGCTAGCTGAGCACTTTACAACATCTTCACAGAGGCAGTAACATGTACTGCATCACTTAATATGACATTTTAGATGAACCGAGGCTGAAACGACTCATTTCCTTGCTGATGCATCCACTTCCACTTTCTCTTCCCTGTTCAACATCTGGCCAGTAGAGGGCTCCGTACGCCCATCAGAACAAAACCTGGCTGATCAGTTACAAGACCCATCCCTTTTTTCAGCTCAGCAACCGCTGCAAACACATCAACATACACACACACACAAACCTCTCTCCTCCACAGCAAACACACTCACACACAAGCATTTTACCTGGTGTGTGGTCCCCTCTATCTCCACAGGCACGATGAAGTCTGCATTACTAATAGGCTGGAGGGGGAGAACACAGGGGGAGTTGGTCGGCATGCTCATTCACATGGCATTACATAACAACTGAACACTTAGACGCAGGCTGCACACCGCGGCCATAAATCACAGTGAAGAGCCTACACAAACAGAATGTAATTCACTTGATGTTCCTCAAGCACATGTGATGGTGAATCAGAAGGAGCTTTCACGCAAACTACACAAAAATACTAAACACACTAAAATTAAGCATTGACAATAAGCTTATTTGGTGGCCAAGTGAATGAGCTTTGGTACCTTGAATGAGCTGTGCACCAGGGTCTCATCCAGGTCTATGACCACGCATAGCTTCCCTTGGTCCTGGGCCTCCACCTCAGGCAGGAGGCTAGGTTCAGACTCCTAAGAAGACACACAAATACTTTTAATGCTACTGTCCAACACGCACCTATATCATTTGTGTTGCGCTTTGTTTCCACCGAAGGAGCATTATTAGCCCTGATAGTACACTGATTCATATGATAATCAGACCGAAGCCGGTTAATTTCACCTCTGGGAAATATGACTCAGTTTCAGAGCTGCATGTATGCGTGGATGAAGGAGCGAGCCTCATTATTTACGATAATATCGTCGATGTTGCATATCTTTAGGGTTAGCATATTTATGTCTTTCATTATATTTCCCAAACGCATCTGTAGACCTTCACCTGCAGGGAGAACACATTAGCTTGATGTAATCTCATTTTCAGATTTGTTAATATTGTTTCATTCTAGGCTCTTGATGAGCACAGCCAATCTGAAATGAATTATCAATATATTACATAATGTTGACGACAAATAACATACCATGACAACAGGATTATTATTTCACCAACTAATCAATGCAATGCAACATAACCCCATCAGCGCCAACGTTTCATTTTGGATCCAGACAATAACCAGGCCCCCACAGATGCTGCCTCCTGTTTGCTCCTGATGCTGGAGGACACTCCTCAACGTGAACAAACATGGCATCTCATTAAAATGCCCCTTACATGCTACTGAAGCTCTAATCAGGCTGACAGCGTTCACCAGCGTGGCCAGCCGAGTGCAGCAGGCGCTCAAGGCTTTATTTTTTTTCTCTCCACCTCAGCAATTACGAGGCACACAATACGCCATTCTCTGCACGCCGTCTGCCTAAAAGGATTGATCATCGCTCTGTCGTTCTTATCTTCCTTGGAGGATCAAGTGTGAACATCAAAATGATTCCATATCCGTAAGACAGTTGCGGTTAGCTTTCAAGATGTTCAGAGCAGGTGCAGTAGTGGTTTTAGTGCGCACTTGTAAAAAAAAATAATGCTTGAAGACAATAATTCTTTTACAACAGCCTGTTTAGTTTATTCCTACAGATGGCCAAACTATTCAAACACACAGGCAGTGTGTGTGTGTGTGTGACAAGGATGTGAAATCTTACATAAACAAAAATCAGGCTGAACCGAGGTCTTCAGTGATGTGAAACATTACTGGAATGAGAATAGTGTTACCTTGACAACCGTCCCATTTTCGTATGACTCCAGCAAGGCCTGGTGGGGGGGAGGTGGTGTTGGCGGTGGTGGTTTGGGGCCATCCTGAGCTTGGAGGCAACAGAAGAGCGCTTTGAAGATGTTGCAACTCCGAGGCTGTTTCAGGGCAGACCGGCTCACCTGGCCTGTTAACGCACACACAGAGACAGAGACAGAGACAGAGAGACTTTCATGAGGAAACCAAGTGAAACATGGAAACACACATCACTACACTAAAGGTAATCACAAAACAAATCTTTTTACATGGAAATAGATGAAAAATATTATTTAAATTCAATATAATTTGTTATGCGCTACATGTAAGAGCTTCCCCTTTCCTAAAAGGCATCTGTCCGTCCGTCCACAGCCCGCACTTGAAATCTGTTTTTAATGCGCCTGCCTCTGCTGCTGCTGCTGGAAATGGCTGGTACACGTTATATAATCACAGAGGGCGGGAAAACCCACACTTTTTCAGCACTACCTTCGACAGAAAACACAGACAGAAAACATTCCAACCATTTTAAACTCCCAAGACCTTCCAGGGCTGCCTGAAGCTAGCCAGAACAGTCAGTCAGTCAGTCAGCCGGACAAGCAGTCACACCTCAATGCTTTGTGCGGGTCTTTGATCAGTCACCATAACCAGGAGTGTCCCAGACCCACACAAGACTTTTAGTCAAAGAAAGGGAGAAAAAAACATTCCTGCAAGTTCCCTCGAGTGTGTTTCATGTGAGAACTTGCAAAACATAATTTATACCCATCGATACACCTTCATCGTAGTAAATACTACTAGAAAGAGGGACTGTGGATAAAGACTCAAAAGTGGAGAGAGAGAGAAAGAGATTTACTCCTAATAATCTCCATGCTGACCCTCAGTGCTCAGAAGACATAATGCAGACACACATGTTACACAACACCCTCTTTAAGACAAAGGAGCTCGATTTGGTCATTCGTCAGATGTCCTTCATTAGTCCTGCACACTATTTTCTGAAAAATATCGATATTAAATATCGATGTCCCTTCAATACATTCCAAATGATTAATGTGTATCCTGATTCCTGACAACCAGTGTAAGCCAGCCCATTGATTCCCCACAGGACGGCAGCATTGGCCATGTATGACATAACGACCACATTATATCTCCCCTGCATGTGGAAGGATGGCATAACAGCAGATTAATCCAACACAGATCTATTTGTGACATTTAATGAGCCATGCCAGGGGGAAAAGACAAGACACAGTATTTGTGTATAATGTATAATCATGCAATATGCACGATGTTAACGAGCCGGGAATCAATGAGCAGAGCTCCTTTCAAGCCCAAGGAAAGCGTGCAAAACAACGAAATCTTTGAAACGGCGCTACAATAGGCGTGAGCAGAGGGGTGTGTTTGTGCATTCCGCTGTCAACACCGCGGCACCTGGTATTTCTAAACAACCCCTCAGTTAATCAACAGCCAATCTGGACGCCCTTACACATATCCGCCTCTAACATGTATTGTGATTTCATACAGGAACTGTGCTGTTTGTCCGTCAAGTAAAATACAAGCAAACTTGGGAACATTGCAGCAGTCTTCCGTGCCATTACGCACTGATGTGTGACCTCCCCCACCACTAAGATATGAACACCATAGTTTATAAATGAACCACACAGTTTGGTCTACACTGTACTACAGTGCTGCCTGTGGTGGCAGACGAGCTCCTCGAGCTGTACCTGGTAGTAGTAGGATATGGGATGGTGCCAAACAAGCTGGAACCTGATCGACATAAATACACAGCAGCTTGTTTTTTTGGAGAGCTGTGGCCATGATCACCAGCAGCACCGCTGAGAAGAAGTCAGCCATAATCACAACACCACATGTTAAGAAGCAACAAAGATTAAAACAAAAAGACATAACAACAGGATCAACAATAAGCTCTGGATGGCATACCCAGTGCGCAATGGAGACTATGAACTTCTACTTGACCGTATATTCAATAGTAGAGGGATAATCTAGCTGTGGCAAATCTACAATATAATCTATCTTCTGATGGATGTTATTCAGTTTAAATGTTTTATTCTAACAGTTGTATGATCTTTATAATCTCCAGTGAAGAAAAACGGCTTCTGGTCAAAAATAGTACTAGTGAATAAGCACAGTATGCTTCGTTCAGACTCTATGGTTCTGTATCTCATAGTGATAAGAGCTAAATATTCAAGATTTGTTTGGTAAAAGGTAAAAAAACAAAGGGGGCAATGCGCCTCTTTGACCGCGCTCAGCGTCCGCAGCGCTCAAACTGTCAAATGGGCGCACTACAGGCTCTCTCGATACACCGATCAGTATTCAGAAAATATCCAAATAATAAACACCAAATGAAGCAGATATAATAATAACTCAAAGGCTCACAGAACACGGGCCCATCTCACCTGTTTTCGGTGACACTTGAACGTCTTCTTTCTGCACTTGGGTGATAACAGAACTTTCCATCTGACAATCACGGAGCCTTCAAAATCCTCAAATCCTGTCCCCGAGCACTGATGGGCATCCCTCATTGGGTTTTATTGAAAAGTCAACTCCAGTATTCACCGAGGTAACTTATCATCCGCCTCAGTAACAAATCCCCGATGAGAGTAGGATTGATCTGGTTTCTTTATTCCCCCGCCGCTTCTTCTTCTTCTTCTCTCGGAGGTCCACCGCACGGAGAGGGGGCAAGGCACTTGGATATGTATTTTTTTTTAGGCTATATGAGACTCTGCCCGCTCCGTCGTCTCGGGTTTACCACTACTATTACTGGTAGTATCGCCGAGAAGCCTTCACTCTTGCACCAACAACATGGAGAATCCAGGCGAGAGAAGGAAAACAACCGAGGAAATGGGGCAAGGGAGGGCGGTTTCAAGCCCCCCCTTACTACAAATAAACAACATCGCCCGAAAGGCTCTAAACGGCCACGAAAAACACCGAGAATCGACCTCTACTGTCGGTTTCGATCTAATAAATCGGATTCCCGTGTTTACTTGAATGTAAAATATGAGTTTTGTTGTTATCCGAGGTTTTGTTTTTCTACGGTTGGGACTCCGCGGGTGCCTTGAAACCGTGCTGGTCACTGATTGGGCGCATGGGAGGTGGGGGTGTGGCCAAGGCATTCCTCCCCGTTCTGCATGCGCTGCACCGTCGAACACATTCCAGCGCTGATTTTACAAATGAGATCACGTTATTTGTTAATTATGTTAAACATAGTGTTGATTTTTGCTACTGCATTAACATATGATTCGTTCACATTATATACAAGGAGAGTAATATATCTTTCGTTGAAATTGTAATTTGTTTAAGTTTAATTTGGTTTCTTTTTTGTTTATATTTCACATAAATATAGACTAATAATTTAGTATTTGTATCAACATTTTTTGACTGTTGTTCAACTTCAATCATTGTACCAGAGGAGTTAGATATATTATTAATGAGCCACAATTATCTCCAAAAAAAGTAGGTTAATCGTTGACTTTAATATATATCCCAAAACTGGTAGGCTATTATTGTCTGGAAGTTGCTAATTGTAGGCTTTACATGTTAAGCTACAGAGGGGTATCCTTTTAGTTTACAAACAAACTTCATATCACAACCTCGGATTAGCAAGGAAACCCAAATTAGTTTTGAGGCTTATTTATTAACCTTTCAAAGGATATATTCAGTCAACACTAAACCTACAGTTTGATGCATGCAACAGCAGATGGATGAACTCCAGAGGAGTTTTGTTGGTAGAAGTATCTCCATACCAACTGTCCTCAGTAGTACTTTATGTGTGGAGGTAACAGAGGGCAGAGTGAAACCAATGACCCAGGCTCTTTTTTATTTTTTTATTTTCTCTCTCAGTTTGCTTCCCTTAACTGACACAATAAGAAAATGAAACTGGAACTTGTTTTTGCCAGAAACCTGCTGGGGGACTTTTCTCTGGGAACTACTGCATTATGGCAATCTCCAAACATTTGTGCAACAACAGGCTCTATATGCAGTTACTTTACCATGGGACTGATGATCATTAACATTACAGGTATATCATATAAAAATATAGTATAAAAAGTATCATATTTAATCAACTATGTAGGTCATTATTTAGTTCTAAATCTAGGAGAAAAAGTGACAAACATTTCTATTGTTTCTATTGTTTTTGATTAAAATAAATTGTACTCAGCTGCAGACAAATCCTGTGTATTTTATAATAATTGTTCACTATCTGAAGAGATCTAAAGCACATTTTGCATAAATAGAAGTGGTTTATAAATCATATTAGGCAATATGGTTAACCAGTGGGTCCCCAGATATTTACAGCATGGAGGTTCTTCAGCGCCTTCGTATTGTCTGAAACCTCTTGAGTAAATGAACACTGATGTTGAGCACCTGTGATGTGGAGTTGAGCAACAGCAGATATTTGCAATATCTAAGCGCATTAAACACACGAGTGGTAGAGAGAACACTAACTGCATACAGCCTTAAAACAGTTTAGATGAAAAACTCAGAAAGAACCAATAAAATCTATTTGTTAATAAAGGAATAACTACACAGTTGAACTAACCACTATCCATTCCAAACACATGTGGGCCCCTCACACCACAAGCTCAGCCAGTGCCCACAGTGGCCACAATGCAAGACATAAACAAGAATGGCTCCGCTGTTTGCATTCCTGGTGTCGGGCGTTTTAGGGCAGCACTGACAGATCTGTGTAAAAATATATACAAAATAAGTATGGGCCGCACAGCTGGAAAAAGTCATACGGTTTAGAGCTGATGCCACCGTTTACTAAATCAATTTGCCTGATCTCTGGTGCGTCTTGCCCTCTCCTTCTTATAATGTTGCGTTCCTCTGAGAAGAAGAGCAAAAGGAGAAAGCTGGCGTTTGAGGCCCTGAGCGGTGCTGCCGTTGTTGTACCCCTGGAAAAAGCTTTCCAAAGCATGTGACTTCAAACATCAGGTACAAGTTAAACCTACATCCATCTTTCACCAGTTAACAGAAATAATGCATGTAAAAAAACATGAGGGGAACGGAGAATTCAAGCCTACGTCTGGCACATTTCAAACCTGAGATTCATATTCACAGAGTGAAAGGAAAGTATATGATATGCAAGTTTATGCGAGTTTTTTTTTTTGTATAACACAATTCCTGCATTCCTGTGCTGTAGTTTATTGTGTTTGTTCACTGGGATTGTTTACAATTCGATAACGACTTTAATGATTTTTATGATTGAAATTCATAAAAATCTGTCAGTTCTGGCAAGCAACAGTAATACAACAACACGGGGCTTTTGCTATTACAAATTCATCAAGGAGATCTTTTTGCAAAAACATATCGTTGACTTACATCTGCAAATCTGTTACCTGTCGACACATTAAAGCAAATACACAAATACAACACTGTTAAAATAGCTTATTATATCATATTAATGCAAATCAATTGTAAATATGGGAGAAACAATTCAGAAATATTCTGTACAAAACTATTCAACAAGTTATACTGCATGGCAAAAAAAGCTGTGGAGATGTTGACATTAATGGCAAAAATAACATTTACCCCTTACACACACACACACACAAATACACTCCATATCCATCTGGCGGTGTGGTTCTATTTCTACATATCACACCTGGGAATCCACAGCCTCATGCACTCTGCCATGCATTGCTACATCCAATCATGTTGATGACAAACTAGCTGTTGAAATGTACTTGCAGCATCTGAGCCTCTAGTAGGGCTGGGGCTGTAGGGTCTACAATCATGTGATTTGCTGGAAGCGCCCACCCTCCCTCACTGCCTCCTCTACCCTCCCACCTCTGCAGGCCTGCCCCTGAGTGGCCTCTGCTAGGCTATGTTTCCAGGAAAGGGGCCTACTGGACAGGCTGTGAGGCCTAGGCAGGGAGACATTGGCTCATTGAGAAAAACAAAAACAGAGAGGGGCGGTGGGAAGACTCTCCTCTCTTACATAACTCTGCCTCCATGACAGGAAAAGAAAAAAAAGAAAAAAGTTCCCCGCCACAATGCAAAGAAAAACCTGTCCCTCTACTGGGCTTGCAAATGCTGAAGCACTTCAGGACTGGAATTCAAGCAATACCGAAACCAGCAGTGCTTGCTGGCAGTTGCACAATAGTTGTAAATCTTCAGACATACCGTCACCTCAGGCATTTCAAATTTAAACTGATTGTACAGGAGCTTAGCAGTCAAATCACTGCAGCCAATGACACTGCATTTGTTTGAAGAATGCTATTCCTGTGCAGCTGTAACGACAACAGAAAACGTGATGCAACTCATAAAACGTGATGTAACACACCTTGTCATTTAATGTGTTGTGTTGTTCGGCTCTGGTGGTGAGACATTTACTGTATCAGAGGAGTGTCTTCGATGGCCTGCACTGCCTCCCTGTGTTCAAAAGAGAGACTGCACGGAGTCTTAAAGTGCACTGAATTCAGTTTCCCCAAACAAAAGTCTTCATTTTGATTTACAAAAGTCATTTATATTTGACTGTCGAGAGATGTTACACACTTAAAAATTACAGTCATGGTGTCATTATAGCTTATCTGTTGTGTTTTTTCATTGGTTATCTGGGTCCAGGTATCAATTATCTGGGTAATTAATTATATCATTAGAAAATGTACTTATATTACTGCTGCGAAGTACTTAAGAAATGTGGTATTCTAGGCCATATCGTCTACTGGTTTTCCATCATTGTACACAGATTTATTTTTGCTAAATTATATTTGGTGGATTACCTTATTTTTCTCATGTTTATTGAGTTTTCATAATTCAATTAACCGTATTCTGTTTTGTAGTTTAGAAAGGGACCTTCATGGTGCACCGTGCCTGCAATAATAATAATGTCAGAGTGTTATAATGTAAAACAGGGAGGTTAAGTTGTGAGGCGATGTATCACGTTTTGTTTTCAGTCTTCAGTTGTCCTACTGTTAAGGCGGGCATTAAAGTGGACTAGACGAAGCAGTATGCTCCATCTAGCAACTATCAGGTTTATACTTAACTCTAGTTGTAACCAGCGTTACAGTATAACCTCATTCACACCTGTAAACCAGTCAAGTTGACAAAACATATCTTAATTGTTTTGTAAAATCAGTATTTGGGCTGTGACTAAAGATACAGACATTGACAATACCAGTTTCTTGTTTACTAAATAAAAACATCTATTTAATTAATTTCTGAACTTCTATTATTAATAAATAGGCAAAGGAGGCTAAATATGGTGGAAGAGAAGACCGTCGGGTTGCTCACAGCTGCACTTTTGGAAAAAAAGGTCCATATGTGATTCAGGAGTCAAACTCTGGCCGCCGCTCGATCAGGATGGTTGTGTCGTTCCCTCTCCTGGTGGTCGGATCAAGGCAGGAAACTCCCAGAGCTATCAGACACAACCACGCCTGCAGCACAGACAGAGAGATTAAAAATGTATCAGTCCATTGATCAGACAAACATCACATATTCAGTATGAGCAAGCATGCAATCAACATTTATGTATGTGGCACCTTTGACAGAAACCAGTCACAAAGTCCTTCACAGTCAATAAAATAAAATAAAAAAAGTAAAATCAAATAAACGATGAAAGGGGAAAAGAGAGAAAAGGCACAAGATAAAACATAAAATGCCACATGCTACAATGCTGATCAGATGGGTTTTTAGCATTTTTTCCATTGAGACCAAAGACATCAAGATTATTGGGAGACTATTACAGCTTATAGCTTAGGGCTGCCGACTGGAAAGCACAATCTCCCCGACGCTTAAAATGTATCCGAGGTACATGTAAAAAACGCTGGGTAGAGGACTTAAGAGCTCAGGTTGTGGTGTTGGAGTGCAGAAGGTCTGTGATATTCTTGGCTCTATAAGTGAACACCAATATTTTAAAATGAACTCTAAAATTAACAAGAAACCAGTTCAGAGGTTAAATTAGGCGTAATGTGTGACCATCTGTTGGATCGTGTTATGAGCCTAAAGGGAGCATTTTGGACAGTTCGTAAAATGGAGTATGGAGGCTTTATAAAGGCAGGTAAAAAAGAGAATTATAGTAGTCCACATGTGATGAGATAAAAGCATTTATTGGCATCTCCCTTTCATTTCTCAACACAACAGACCCAAATTTGGCTATGTTTCTGGGGTGAAAGAAACATGATTGAGTCCGCACCTTAATGAGAGTATCAAAACTCATGGATTGGTTAAAAATCCCACTAATATTATGCAGAATAGACCCTGAAGATACTGATAAGGCACCAAGGTTCTGCCTGATCGCTGAGTGCATTTAACTGCACAAAATGATTTGCCATCTAGTTCTTAATTGGATTCAAACAGTTGTTCAGTGCAGAAAGTTTATGAAGCTCATCAGGTTTTAATGAAAAAATATAAAATAAGATTATATATGTTTAAGATGCAATGTCAAATGGTGAACTATGTTGCTGTGTGATGTAACAATATTATATTTTTCTTTAAATTTATAAAGAATTACCATCACTGCTGGGAAGTACTGAAGAAAATGTTGTATTCTACTATCGCTATTACGATGATTGTTTTATTATTTGCTTATTATATTCTCCATTAATCGTTTGTTCTATAAAATGCCAGAAAATAGTGAGTTTTTTCAAAGATGTTTTGTCCAACCAACAGTCCTGAAATTGACATTTTTGGCATTGTTGCTTTAAAAAATGATTGATTATCAAGACAGATATGTTTTCTATCGACTGTTTTATTAATCAACTAATTGTTTCATCTCTACGTTAATTATTTATCCCAGTGATCACGGATAATAAGATACAAAAGATGTTTTATACTTCCCTAACATTATACGATTTTTCCTGAAACTTTCAACCATCTTCGAATCCCCTGGCATGAGAAGGGTTATCGGATTTTCCCAGTTATTAGAATAATAACAGACGGGTAAAAGCAGCAACAATATTGTAAATATCAACAGACCAGACAGCATTCTCTGGTTTTGTGACCATGCTCTGTGACATACTCTGACTGCACTTATAGTTGAAGATTAAGTCGCGGGAACCAGTTTTAAGTTTCACAATGAAGCAACAACCCTAATGTTACCTACCAAATATCCCACAAATGTCAGGTATGCTATGCAGAGGAATCCTGTCATCACATACAGCCACACACTGTTGAGGGAGGTCACGAAGACCACGACGAAGTACATGTTGATGGCGCACACGATCACGATCACGAGTCCTCCTCCGATCTTAAACACTCTGCAGGGAAAAGAGGAATGAGTGTGTTTGAAGAGACAATTATCATTTGTCTTTATGATGTAGATAAACTTACAATCCGTTGGCAAACTCATTCATGAGAGATGGCATGCTGGTAAAAGTGAGGATGGGAATGAGGGCAAATGGCAACTGTGAGAGAAGAATGAATATGTTATAATATTAAAATGTAGTTTATACCATTTCAAGACAGCAATGAACAGGTATTTCAAATAACAGTTAAAACAGATATTTCTTCTTATTGAGAGGGATTGGATTCCCCGAAACCCCCAAAGTATAAGGCACATTGCTTTGTTAAAGTACAGTTAAAAAGCTTTTATTATTGTGGCTACATGATTAAAAACAAGAACAAGAAATGTATTAGACTGTGAGATCCAAAATGTGGCTATTCCAAAGTGGAGCCAGTTATTTAACTCAGTCCTATTTGCTTGAATAAAGTATTTGAATCATATTAATGTGCTACTTTTTGATTGAATGAATGAGAACAAAGGGTGAAGTAAAGGTGATATGCAGGAAAGATGAAGCAAGTGAAGGTGGAGAGATGTTGGTGAAGCTGCCAGTGAACAAGCTTTCACGTTAGCCTGACCTGCAAGCTCTGCAGCACATTGAGGAAGTCATTCATGCCCGTCAGGTGCTGCACGTCCTGGAAGATGGCCACCAGCAGGGTGGGAGTGATGGCAATGGAGCGGGTCAACAACACCCGAGCAAAACGCGACCAGCGCAGGTTCAAGAAACCCTGAGGACAGGAAAACACATAGTTCTGTGACATTTACAAGAGAACTGCACTTTTTTGTGACAGCAAAGCAAACAGTGTGCATATCTTTACCTCGCTCAAATTAATAAAGCATGATTCCACAAAGACATTTTGATGTAAAGATACCAAAACTAGGCCACAACTAAAGAACTAAATGGGTAAAACAACTGTCTGATGTTTGATGGTGATGAAGTTAAACAACAGGGCTGACATTTCCACTGTGTTACATGTGTGTTTTTGTGCATACGGCCGATTCCTCCCTCTTCCACTAACCTCCATGACAAACTGGCCGGAGTACGTTCCAGTCATGGTGGAGCTCTGACCAGCTGCAAGGATCCCCACGGCCCAGATGTAGAGCGCTGCCGGGCCAAAGAAACAGCCGAGCACCACTCCCTGAAAACAGACACACGAACACGGACGCTGGTCAACTCAACAGCGGCGTTAAACTCACCAGTAAAGTCCCACGCTGCTCAATAAAAACAGGAGAGGAATGATCATAATGAAGAAACTACAGAGAAGTATCACTTTTACTTCAACTTAAGAGCGTTTTAGCATCTTTCATCTCATTGTTTTGACAAGTACTCAACTTGCTCAGCAGACAGACACAGATATTTCCCTCAGGAGTTCATAGAGAGCATAACATATTTTATCTTGTAATATTTATTAACTTTGCGAAAACCTGCATTCCAAACTGGGATGTTACTGGGTTGTGTAGGCAGGGTTTTTGGAGCTTAACTTGTACTCAGTGGTGGAGGAAGTAGTCAGATCTTTTACTTAAGTAAGAGTAACCACAGTGTAGAAATACTCTAGTACAAGGAAATGTCCTGCATTCTAAAATCTTGAGTAAAAATACAAAAAATATAAATCTGCCTCCACTACTTAACAGCTGACGAGAGCCTTGTAACTGATTTAATTGATATTGCTTAGTCAAGAAAATCCAACCTCAAGTTAATTTACTGAGCTGAACTTACCCCTTTGTAGAGGTTCACCTCTAGAGTTTCATTGTTCAAAGGGAAAATATGTGAATGAGGACTTCCTGTTTGATTGCAGACGCTGTACTGGAATAAAAAAACACACGTCTGTAGCAAAGCAGCCAAAGAAAAGAAACACACACAATTTTTACCTTCTAAAAGACGTCATGAAATGTCACTCTTCTTAGATTATGAGAGCGGGTGCAGAGATACTCACCACCTCTTGGTTTGTGCGTCCATAGAAACCCTCCGCAAAGACAGCCACCACAAACACGTTGATGAGGAAAGAGATAAACAGCGCGATGGTCGACTCGATGAAGAAATATTTGTTGGCCTCTTTTACTTCTTTCTTGTTCGACCGATCCACCTCTCGAGACTGAGAGGACATTTGGACAGTTATGATGTTTTGTTGATACAAGTTTCATAAAGTTGATTAAAACAAAGGGGGAATGCCATAGACATCCAGCAGTTGATCGCACCTTGACAAGAGCAGAGTGGAGGTAAATGTTGTGAGGCATGATGACGGCTCCCACGATGCCGACGGCCTGAGCCAGCTGAACGGGCCCGCAGCCCTCGCAGTACGGCATGAACATCCCCTTCAGCAGCTGGCCTTGGTCTGGACTCACCGTCACATACTGCCAAAGGGAAAGCAGTGCATGTAGATGTTAATGATAAGACGATAATAATCAGTCCAGATTTGGATACACAGTGTGACCACAAAGTTGCTTCAGAAAAGGAAGTCCTTATTCCAACTCTTTGAGGGCAAATTCATTGCTGCAACCCTCAAGTGACACCCAGAAAAACATAGATATGGGTGGAGGAGAAATGTTTAGGAAAACATGTTCTACTCAGCCCTGTCTGCAGATATGGGAATGCTTGTACCTCATATCCAAAGGTGATGGCCATGATGGTGATGAGCAAACCGAAAAAGGCTTCCAGCTTCCTCAGGCCTGCAGAGACAGAAATGAGGATGTTATATTTATTGTTGTTATGGCGACATATTTCCCTGTAAGAGCATGACCACAACCTACCATACTTGTCTAAGAAGAGGAAGACAAACGTGTCGATGATCGTGATGAGGACACCACCCCACAAGGGGATCCTATGGGTGAACACACACACACACACAAACACACACAAACAACACCAAAGAGGCAATCAAGACATTTTAAAGCACTCATCAAACTGTGACTCCGTCCCAGAGGCAGTAGTGGAATGTAACAAAGTACAGTTTTGAGGTACTTGTACTTTACTTTTTTTGCCATTTTAAACTTAAAATATTGTTTTTACTTCCCTGCATTTATCTGACAGCTTTAGTTACTTTATAAATTAAGATTTTTAGAAAACAGAAGAGCTTGTAAAATATGATGAATAGTTTTTTCTTATGAATTAAACTTTAAACCAACAGTATATACAAGTGCAGCTGAAACAATTAGTCAGTTAGTTGATTGACAGAAAATTAGTTGGCAACTATTTTGTTAATCGTTTAAGTCTTTTTCCATTCAAAAACATGTCATGGTTACAGCTTCACAAATGTGAAGATTTGCCGCTTTTCCTTTTAATTTTTCTAATGATTTAATGATCTAATATTGAATTTAATATATATATATTAATAATGTTGAGATTTGGACTGCTGGTCGGACAAAATAAATGTAATAGATGTCACTTTGAGCTCTGGTTAAACAACAAACCAAACAATCAATTGGTTAATGGAGAAAATAATCAGCAGATTGATCCATAATGAAAGTAATTATTAGTTAATATTACTTCAACCAACTACAACAGTAAAATAATTTTACATTAATGCAGGAGTAATAATAATCTAATCTAAAATAGTATGACTGTCTGTTCACATTACCTGCCGGAGGAAAGAAGGTTGAAAGCGATGGCGCAGCCGATGACCTCCTGCATGTCTGAGCCGATGATCGCCAGCTCCACCATCAACCACAGGATGATACGAGGCACCTGGACAGACGACACAGGTGTGATTATTTAGAGAAAAACACACCACGCTAACAACAGTTTCACCAATATTCAAGATGAGAAATTCACACGAACATCTGGGCTCTAAAAGATAATCAACCGAGTCGAATGAAGCTGGTCAGACCTCTGTTCTATCAGGTTACAGTTTGAAGAAAAGATCAGGTGAGTGACTGGAAACACTTGAATTGTGTCTGAATCTGAATATCTGTAGCTAAATAATTAAAATTGTACAATTTAAAAAAATTAAAACCACATAAATTCAAATGGTTTTCAAGGAAATTCAGTGATATAAATAACACTAATTAGTACCTTGCATTGGTCCCTTTCTAATTCATAGTCAGTGAAATGCTCACAGCTTTAAACTTTAAAATAGATTATGTACATGAACACTGACTGGACCGACTGGGCAATCAGAAAATGCTACTTTCATGCAGCTCCCTGTAATTGTTGCTCACATGCATTGGAGCCTCTTAAAATGTGTGAAGCAGAAACACAGTAGTTAAGCTCCAGAGAACAAAAGGGCTGGTCACATGTGTTTTCAGCCATGTGGTTCACAGTTCCACTTCAGGAAGCGGAGGCATTTTTACAAGTCACTCTGGATTTAACTGTACATTTAAACACATTTTCTCAGTTTTGAAAACTATTTCCAAGTGCTACTTCTGCTTATAGCCTCTCAGATCATTTCTGCATTGCTGCTGATTATTGGGAAAGCTTATCATAAATGAAAACAGCGACCACAGTGAGTGTTAGCAGGCGCTGTAGATATTTCATGGAAACAGCAGAGATTACTGATATCTCACCGTGTGGTACTGGCGGTTGCAGACCTCGGCCAGGTGCATCCCGGTGACGACGCCGAGCCGAGCCGCCAGCCGCTGCAGCAGCAGACCGGTGATGGTGGCTGTCAACAGCACCCAGAGGAGCTGACAAGACCAGAACAAGAGACAGGCATCATCTGTTAATTGGCCCTCTTCATGAGCTCAAATGAGGGTCAATACGTTTGTGAAATGACGTTAACAAATAATTCAAGAATTTATACTTGTAAATCCACCTCTGTTAACCTGTGAAGAAAGTCTTGTGAATGTTTTGCTAATTTTATTTACACATTTATTATGGAAATTATATCAACAGACCTTTCTCATGGCAGACGTTTTAATGACACAGAGTGCCATTCGTGTTTGCGTGCATCCATGCGTTCGTGAGTGAGTGTGCACCTCTGTCTGTCCGCGGCAAATCTCGCATTCTGCTGCAGCAAACTAATTAAAATAATTTTGGGTGGCCAGTTATGGCTGCATGCTCAAGGAACTCTCGTCGTTGCGGTGATTCACACTTTCTCAAAAACATCTTTTATGGCCTGTTTTATACTGTCATTGACTGCTGACTCCTCACTCACTGGGCCGGTTAAGAGCAGCGACCACCAGCTGCTACTCTGCGCTTAGACACACAGCGATAAAACCAACAGTGTGTTTGGCTAACTGCTAACAGAACTACCAGTTCACACACTGCTGTACCTCTCAGCAACTCAGCAGCTGCTATGCGAGTACACTGCTTGGTGATTTTGTTCTAGGCAAGATTGTACAACCTGATTTGTGTGGCTTTTTTTACGACGGCCTACAGCCCATTAGTGTCAAGAATCTGTACATTCTTTCCTCTTTGTTTCAACTCTTACTTTTTTCTCACACAAAAACAGGGCTTTACCACAGTGTCTTTAACCGCTGGCTTTGTGTTTCAGTGTGTATGGGAAAAACAGAGCTTTCACCAAACGATTGTGCTCTGAGTTTCTCTGAAAAGTTAAGAGGGACTTATTGTCGCCTCAAATCTTCTCTGCGATCACTCCGTTTTTTGCCAGATCGATTAATGTACTACCCACTCTTGGCGTTTCAGCCTTCGTTCTCAGGTCCGCCTGACTCTGCCTTGAACTTCCTACCAAGTAAACGATTTCTTTCAACTGCTTTACCTCCTGCGGTTCAGTGTGCAGAACAGTTTCAAGGAACTGCTGTCATCGACCTGGATTTATGTTGATTCCGTCAGACAATGTCCCGATTATGAAATTATTTCATCAGCGCAGCAGCTCTGTTGTGACTGCTTGTTAATCAAAGACAATTAAATCACTATTAACTACTCGTTCAGTTTTCTGAAAGAGAAAAATTTATAAATGAGAACAAATATATTGTGAATTTGGCTGCATTATAACACAAAGTAATCACAGACAGCAAGAGGAATGAAGTGAAAACAACTTTCTGTCATCTCTGACTTTCTCTGCGATTTATTATTTTATATTTCAATATAGCCGAGGCAGTTTTGCCTCGGCTATATTGAACAAGAAGAGATGTAGCTGGTTTTTTGTTGGACATGTGGTTTCTCTGCGGACTAAGGTCGCTACAAAAAATTTAAAATTAGACGGCTTAATGAAGAGTTAGTCCGAGTCTAATTTGTGCAATCATTTTTTGACACATTCTCAAGTCCTTCCTACAACTTGAATTCCTCACTCAAACTTTACAGGTTTACATAACATTACATGCGATTGGTAATTTCAGATGTTACATACTTCAGTTATTTTTTAATGTGAAAAATCTCAAAAAGATGAATGAAGTGTTTTGTTCTTACGTCATGCTGCTAGGGAAGTTTAACTTTCACTCATGTGCGACTCTGTTTCAACACAATAATAATACCCTGATAGAAGACCAGATATTGTCTGGGACAGTTCTCTTGTCTTTCTTTTAACACTAAAGTTTTTTAAAAAACGCTTTAGCTGTTTCTAGAATAGATTCGTCCCAACAATATTGGAATGTTAAGTACTTTATAGACACAAATAATTTGATTTGTTTTGCCAATATTTTGCAGCCTTAACTGGAAAACTGGACAGTCAGGCTTTAAGGCTGAGGGCTCGGTCACTTTCTGTGAATATTCACTCCACCTCTCATTCACTTTATTCAAAGCTCCTGTGACTAACAACTTCAGGAATGTGCTTCCAGTGTTTGCAGGACAAAGTTCCCCTTTATTAAACTTTGACCTGCAGTACCGTGAGACTCTCTAATGTCGAGCCAGTTTGAGATAGAATGAAAGTGACCTGTCCTTCGAGAAGTATTATTGTTAGTATAGTTTACTTGACTGAATGGTGACAGATTACAAACAGCAGAGTGAGAGGGAAGCTGCATGTCTGGCAGTGATTAAGGACACAATGAATTGGTCGCTAGGAAGTTGTGTCATTTTTCAACTTGTTGAATTACATTGTTATCCTACCAGTCAAGTTATTTCCAGCAGCTTATAATTATAACCCAGCCCACATTATGTACAGTCTTTCCTGTTTAAAGGCATGCCGACAACATGCAAACCAATCTTATCCTGTCAGGTCTACTACTACAACTACTGTAATAACATTATGTGATTGGAAGTGACAGTTGTAGGTAGTATTTGTTTTCACAGATTTTAGCAGCAGTAGGGCTGTAAATCCAGTGAAATTATTTTTGCTGTCCAAATGAATGTTTCTGAGACATCTGCAATTAAAGGTAAAGATTTATTTTAGGGATACATTATTTCCTAAACAGAACTATGTAATTTGGTTGAATTTTGGTGTAAATTATATAGGGAAAACAGAGACTGCTTTTTAGACTGCTATTTAAGTGTTTTTTTGTAAACTTTATTCTTCATATATGTTGGATTATATGTTTACCTCAGGTGACCCGCTTTGTCTCTATTTTAACTATAACAGGTGTGTAGCTTTTTCATGAAACATCAAAGGACAGAAATAAAGCATTACCTAATTATAAACTAAACTGGTTATTGAAGTTTCTGCTTAACACATGAAGAGCTTTGCCTCACGTGACACATAACAGTAGAACACAGTTTGATTATTTTATGTAATCCACTTAATATCATGCAAATTCATTCAAGCACACATCAAGTCATTCCTAATCAACCAAGAATAAAGTGAACACAACAGTCAGTGTCAGTTATTGTGGTCCAAGCATTACTTTAGTTACCTTGAAGCCAGCTTTAGCACCAGACTGCAGGTCAGACTCGATGTTACCTGGGTCCAGGTAGGCTATGCTCATCAGAAACCCCGGCCCACTGAAGGCCCACAGCTTGCAGAAACTAAACCCCCCCTATAGGATACAGAAACACAAGCTGTGACACTGACATCTTTACATACTATACTGCATGCTGATGGTTATCAACCTATCAAAAACAAACAGCGGTCTAAACTGGAAATTGGCATAACTTTTAATACAGGCTTTCTTATTTGGCCCTTTCTTGGACTCATGGATTACCTCGCTGTCCTCCTCAGGAACAGGGACCCTCTGTTCAAAGTAAGTACTCGAAACAGGCTCATTATTCTGTTTCTGGAGGAAGACCGAGGGGGAGGGGGCGGACGCTCCGTGTGTGTGTGTGGTCTGGATCACTGCTTTCTCTTCCTCCATGTCATCGGCTGAAATGTGACAGAAAACATGGTGAAATGACAAGAACTAATCCCCACAAGGACTCAAGTTCAGGTTTATTCACATATACATTAAACAGTTCCAATGTTTTACATTCAAATGCAATGAAATGCATCTGCCCTGGCTCTCTCACCTCTTTAAAATGATAAATAATATGGTCAATAAGAAACAACAACAAGAAGAAGAAGAAATTCCACAATAATAGACAAATAAATAATAACAACAACAACAATGATAATAACTTTGGGTTATCAAAGTGCTTGTGCGTGATTCATATCACACACAGATCATACACGGCAGTAAACGCACAGTGAATGACTCCAGCACATTTACACATTTGATGACAGCAAAAACATTGTAAAGACGTCGTCTCTGTTCATTAGCAGAGTGCTAATTCATCTAGTACTCTTATTTTATTTGATCTTAATTGATTTATTTCTGTTTTTTATTGTTAGTTAAAAATAACTACAATGCTTTTTTCTTTTCCCTTGTTAAAAACTCTGAATTGCCTCTGTGATTGTAACTTTCATGGCAATCCATCAGATAGTTCTCGAGAGATATTTCAGTCTGGATCAAAGTGACGGTCAATCGCTAACAACTAGATAATGCTCTAAATATAGCTGCACGGTGACAAGTTCTTGGTAAGTGAAGGCAGCCAGATGAAGAGTATTGGATGAACAGAGATACATCAGTGATACAATGAGTTTGTTGTGTGTCAGGGGAGCCACCTCTCCTGACACACAACAAAAAGTGACGACAAAACAAACATCCTCACCTTGTCCTCCAGTCTGTTCAGGCTCCTGATCTGTGGGAACACTGGGAGGCAGAGAGGAGATGTGGATGTTCTCAGGAGGGGGGTCTCTGACTGGAAGCAAACAGGTTATTATAATGAGATTTAAAAGATTTAGGTGCACAGAACAAAATCCTTCACACACAGAGATCCATCAGAAAGAAGTACAAAGATAATCATTATTGTCAGTCGCAGGCCTTTTTTGCAAAGTAATAATAATGCCACCTTTGCAGTGACAGTATTTTGGGTTTCTCACACAAGTGAGACACACAAGTGGTCACTTGTGTGTGCATAGTAACTAAGTACAGATACTCAAGTACTGTACTTAAGTCCAATTTTGAGGTTGAGGAATTTCTTTTACACCACTACAATTTGGGGGCATATATTGTCGCATTTACTCCTCCATATTTATTTCACAGCTTTTGTTACTTTGCTGATTTAGAATAATACAAAATATCATGAACTATTAAATTGTGATGTAATATTATAGATTATAAAATACCCGCCAATGTAAAGTACTCCAAATGAGCCCCAGCGTTACCAGCTGCAACATTCAAGTGATTTCACACATTCATAAATGAATAATTATCATCCATTGATCCAGTAAATCTCTTTTTTGTTTTGACATTTTATAAAATTGCTTTTTGTACTTCAGTTATATAAATGCAGTTATATAAATGTAAAATTATATTTAAGCACATTTCTGTTATTATAAATAAATAATAAATAATTTTAATTAGGGTTAAGAAACCCACATTACTCTATCAAAGATCAAACTTTTAAAGAAAATAACAAAGACAAATATCAAACACAAGTTATTACATTAACTTTGTTCAAAGCTATTTTTGTCACCTCTGCATGGCAGCTACATCCAAGAGCTCCTCACTGAGAGCCAGGTCTTATAAACACGGATAGATGCTCTGTGTCCGTGTTGTCTGTGCTTTCATCAACAGCTAATGAAGAAGACGAGTACCTGCTCGTCTCTTAGCTAGCTGTGTTGTTAGATTGCTGCTAGTTCCTGAACTCGGTCTGCGATGGTCTTTCTTCACAAACTGACATTTGTAAAAGTCTGTATCTGGTCGGAGCTCACCTGCTCACATACCTTTAGCATGCACTGGGCTGTAGATTTTGTAAATCTATTCTGCTGTGATTGCACTCTGTCTTTTAATTCTTGGACAATTTTATGTTTTTCTTGGAGGCTAAATTTTGCTCCGTGTTTGGTGTCAAAATGCCGACGTGAATAGTATTCCTACATCACCGACACACATCATAACACTGAAGACAGACCCGTTTTTCTCCTTCAAGCACAGACATGTATTCGCTTTCCCATCTTAAATTACATTTACTTCCCTATGCATCAATTGTTCTCTTCGTGGACATTTTGGGATTATTTGTCGATCTTTTTCAACTCAATCACTTGTTGGAGAACCTCTTTACGGTCTGTTCCCTCTCCTGTCCACCTGTTGTGATAGTTTTAATGTCAGTACACAGACAACATGCTATTTCATAATTTCAACTTTCTATCTCATAATTTCAACCATGGGGATACTTTTATTTTCAAGTCTAACTATTTTTTTTCCAAAATAAATAAAATAAAATAAATTGTTTTGATTTTTTTTGCTGGTGGATTCACGGCCACATAAAATGACGTGGCGGGCCGGATTCGGCCCGCGGGCCTTGAGTTTGACACGGGTGGTTTAGACGCTAAAGTGCATTTCGTTGTCTCAGTACTTATCTTAGTCTTATCTAAGATGATTGAGGTTGAAGTTTGCATTGATGTTGATCTGGACTGAATTACAGTAAGAGGTGTCTCCAATGTAAACGTGAGGGGGGAAGAACATTAACGTGTTTACATATTATTTAGTCCAGTTCAACAACCTATATCGAGAAATTAAAACTCTGATGGTGGCATTCAAAACTGCACATTATTAACTTTGTAAAGGTGGAATCTATGGCTGAGCTGTTTAATGGGATTGCATTCAAGTGGCCTAGAGTGGCCTCTGAGTGCAGACTCAACTATTAATCAATTAATGAAGAAAATTACAAACTTCAAGAGGTCTTAAAATTAGATTCTGACACCCTGACATCCTCTACAAGCCCAGAACCACAAGATTAGGGCCCATTTTAGTTGCTATTATACTTTAATGGTGCAAATATCTAAATAGAAGTGCAATCAAACAGATTGCAACCAATTAGCCTAATATGGAGTGAAATCTAGGACTTCTGTGTTCTCTGTTGTTAAGTCAGCATCACTTCAACAAAACAGTAATATGTTCCTGTAAGAACTTTATGGGGGATGTTGTTATAAACCAACGGAAACTATGGATGCCATTAAGAATGAGGAAGTCAATCGGAACTGTTGTTACACTATAAATCACATGTTAAATGTTTTATCAAGGGACATGTGAGGAGAAAGTCACATCTCAACATTTGATAAGATTATAAACTGTGGATGAAGTAAAACTACCAACACTAAAATGTAAAAGTACTCTGCCACAAGTAAAAGTCATGCATTAGAAATCTTAGCAAAATAAATATATTTATAGATAACAAAGTGAAATTTCTCATTGTGCAACACAATTATATATATGCAATTTCTTACACACAAATTAGTATTCTTTTAAAAAATAGTCTAATATTTGCTTTTTTGTAAAACATTGGATGATTTTACCTTTTTGGACTAAAAACAATCATTTACATTAAACCTATCATTTTGTCGTAAAATCTTAATTTGTATTAATAATTATTTAATTGTTGGTTAACAAGTACGCTACACGAGTGAAATGTAGAAGTAATAAAACAGCATACAATGAAACAAGTAAAATACAAGTAGGCCTACCTCAGATTTGTATCTACAGCACATGAGTGAATGCTACATTCCACCACTGCTGGCTTTAATTACAACACTGCTTGAGACACACTCACCTGACCGCAGGAAGGAAAACATCTTCTTCTTCTTCTGTGACATTAATAGTCTCTTAAATCTGTTCAAAACTTCCAAAACACCAAACGGAACAAGCAGCTACATTCCGGTCATAATATGGTTCACTTTGTTCTCCTCCTCGCTTCCCTGTGTTTAATTTTCACTGAGGAGTTTCCGGAGAGCACGAGCATCCGCCAGGTTGGACACATATGTTGAACATCGTCACTCCGAGTGAAAAGTTGACCCACCTGACAGGTGAGGGAGGAGGGGGGGAGGGGGGGCATGGGGGAAACTGTCTGAGGACAAAGTACAACCGATACAAGTTTCGCAAATGAACCAGGTGTCATGTTTCTATCACGTGACACGGTTTACACAGTGAAGCAGTCTGAGCTGACCCTGGATCACGAGGAAACGAGACTCGCTGTTATAGATTCCAAAATAAAAGCACACATAAGACAGACCGGTGTCTGTATAGAAATATACTATATAATACCATCGAAGAATGATTAGTTCAGTTGAGTTATATGATCCTTGTTTATTTTTTTGTTCAATCAATTTATTTTGTATATCCCTAAATCACAAATTTATAATAAACCCAAACCAATCGATCATAAAAAAGTCAGTTGTGGCTCTACTTTGGATTTAACGAGGTCACACTTCTAGTTTCTCTCCTTCATATATTCCAAAAAATAAAGTACAACTATTATCTATTCTTATTGTCTGCCATTTTGTGAATACATGATGGTTCAAAGCCTTCTCCACTCTGCAAGGAATAAAACTCTGGTTCATTTTATTAAATTATTTATAATAATTATTTATCATGGATATTTTTCAGTTCATCTATTTTGTTGGTTGGCCTTCAAGTTGTCAAAATGTATATTATATTACATTATATATATACGTATATATGTATTATATTAATATTCACCCTTAAGATACTAGATCAGCCTATAATATACCCAGTATATCATTTAAATCCCCCAAATGCATGACCTCAAAGACACAGTATTACCGCAATGTTCCTAGTAAAGGCCAATATACAGCTAGCTATATTTGCTTTAATCCAAACTCTGGAGGATTATTTGATAAAAATGAAAGGATGTGTTTGAAAGACAGGTTATGATGTCCAGCTTGATCCTGCTGCAGGTGTTTATAACGCCCTCTAGCAGCAATGAGGGGTGTGTTTTGTTTTTCATGTCCTGCAGAGAAAATAAATGGTTTAATATCGAAGGAGAGTGTGACCAGAGCAGGAACAGCCACTGGGTGGAGACAAATACCAACTGATATTTGTTTTGTGTGCTACATTTCAGTTAAACGTTAATGTCAAGGTTTGAAACAAACAACAAATAATCTGTCTTTTGACAATGACTTTTCCTCTAGCTCCACCACGAGGCTGACATTTGTGGTGTTACATTCCTATTGAGCTTACTGTTGTGCTTTACAAAAGACGGTGAACATGCTCTCTTTGGACCACCTGGTTGGAGTAATTAATAAATTACTGTTATATTGTTGTGGGGATGTCTTTGTGTGTCTAGAGAGGTTGTATGACAATACTTTATCAGTTATGCCATCAAATGCCCAATCGTGTCATTATAATGTCCTTGATGTATTCTTGTAATCTATCTTATATCAAGTAATAATGTATCAGTGCTGCTCACAAGTAAATGTATCGTGATGGTATTGTAATTAATGGGATTTTCTGCTCTTATATTTTGTAACACCTAAGAATATAGCCCCTGTTTTACAGTATAATTTTGTTTTATGCATTAGGTAAAAAGAAAATACTCTAAAGTTCTTACAGATACATAAATAGGTACAGTGAAAGAAAACAAGAACCCTGCTAACCAACTACAAAAGTACTGTATATTTTTGTTAATACTGGGTATCTATGGGGTACTGGGAACACTAATACTCTCCAGAAACTATAAAGTAATTATGGTATAAAATATTTCACCGTTACAATATTCTTCCAATATGAAGACAGTTGTCCCACCAAAGCAACATTTATTAGTACAATTAAAGAGTAAAAACAGCTCTGTGGTCATTTTGGGAACATAACACATTGGTTTGTTTGTCAATAACCCCTCCATCTGAGTTTTCTTACCTCACTGTCCCCTCGCAGTTTTATCCTAACTATGAAATACTATATTACTGTAAAAAATTCTGCAGAATATCAATGTTGTTTTATTCCCAAACGTATGTTTTGTGTACCCTGAAGGTTCCCAGTACGAACATATACAAAAGGTAATTCATTCATTATGACTCCCTTGTTCCCTAAAGTCTTGTTTTCTTCAACTGTACGGGAATTGATCATTATTTTATTGGTAAAGTTTTACTTAATATTCCTACTGTATATTCAGTACATTTTTTCCTTTTTTTAACTTTTTGAAATCTGTGTCACTTCCTCCGGTTAAGTTGTCACAGTAATCCATTAAGCAATTCTTCTCAAACAGTCGCAGATATGACTCATTAGAGGTCTGACCAGCTTCATTCAGGTTTGGTTGATTATCGTTGGGAGCCCAGATGTTCATGTGAATTTTGGTCTGAAAATGACAATTGAATCTGAGCAACTTGAATACAGTTTTTTGTATATCAGACACTTAAAAGCATACTTAAAATCAAAAGTTATGAAGTTGTACTAGGGCTGCACACATGATTATTTCCACCATATAGTATTCTGTTTAATAGTTTCCCAATTAATGATTTAATCACATAGTCTGTAAAATGTTGGAAAATAGTGAAATACGGCCATCACAGTGTTTTCATTTGTGTTTGGTCCAAAATATTCACATTACAGTGGTACAAAACAGATAAACAGCAGCAAACGATCCCATTGTTGCTTAAAAAGGGATTATTTGATTATCAAAGTAGTCGCCAATTCATTTTCTTTCAATCGACTAATTGATTAATTTACCATTTGTTTGAGCTCTACTGATCAAATAATCTCAACGGATCTGCTTGTCAGGGATTTCATTTTACCTTCAGTTAGGACGAGTTTTAGTCTGTTTAAACAAGTTAATAAATGAAAAATAATTCTTAAAAATAAAGGATGTCCCATTGTGTTTCCCACAAACTACATTTACACCAAAGAACCTTCAACACATTGGACCGGACCATGCATGCTTTCAGCTGCAGGTGGAGTAAAGAAGAGACGGAGTGAGACTGAGTAGTAAGAGATCATCTGATCCCCATGTTTAATCCAATAGTTTACTTATTATCAAATCTGAATCAGCACACAGCAGCAACAATCTGTATTTTAGCTGAAATAGCTGTAACACACTGCCATTTGTCATCTTGACAAAACGTTGGTGCAATGAAATCAGATGTTTGTGTTTATTTTGGCAAGCACCATTGGAAATAGAGCAAATTTGTCATGTGCTTATGTGATGAAGAATAAAATTATATACCCATGCAAAATCCCCTGTGAAATGTACATACGTATCTTTATTGCAGAAAAGTTAAGTGTCACTGAAATCTTACTGATTTCTTTTTTATTCTTTTTGTACTTTTTTTTTTTTTTTCTTAACTCGTAATGACTTATTGATCAGTTGTCACCTCTGTGTTTGCCCTCATGTTTGTTTGTTTGTTTCAGTTTTCGGTCTATTTCCCAGCATCGGTTGTCTTGTAGAAATTGTAAGATCATTATACATAGTTGTCTGGAAATGTTTGGCATGTATGGAGTTACATGATTTCCTCTAAAATCATACATCCGTACAAAAGCAAAGTGAGTAAAAAACAAACAAAAAATAATAGATACAAATCAAACCAAGAGGAACAAATCAAAGAGAAATGTCTGTGCATCCTGATATTGAACTGGAAAAAACGTCTCGCCATCTTGGATTCAGTTGTAAAGCCTGTGTACACTTTTTTTCCCTCCACACATTTCTATGTCTTTTAATGCATCGTTATTTCGGTTACTTATTGAAAAGGAGCACCTGGCTTCCTTTTGTTGTACGAAACACGAGGAAAAATCCTCAAGTGTCTGTTGATGTGGCATCGCTTGGCTCCTCACAGGACTCCTGTCGTCTACGTGAGTCTGTAGTATTTTATATAAGGTCCACGAGTCCGTCCTCTCATTTACATCTGGACACCAGGATGAGGTCTAACCCATCACACGCTGCCCCGGTCCGACTCATACCGTGGTCACCCTCATCACCACCTCCCGGTTGGTGGCGCCGCTGATCCGAGGGTCGTTGGGCCGCAGTTGGCTCAGGATGTGCAAGATGGTGTATCCACAGTGGTGGTTCAGAATAGTTCTTAACCTCCTGCTCTGTCGCCCACCACTGCTGCTGGCCAGACCGTGAGGATTACTGCGAGAGTTGCGATTCCCCGTTTTGCTCGAACTCAGCGGGTCGCCCAAGTCCTTTGATTTCTCATAGTTCAGTACTTTCCACTGCTGATTGACAGCCTGCCATCGTTTGAAGATTCGATACACTGATGATCCCTCGTGGATGATGAGGCCTGGGCAGAAAGAAGAAGAGTGAAGGACATGCAGGGCCTGAATGAATCTCCACTGCTTTACATCAGATATGAATGCTTAAAAGGCTGCAACAAGCATGATAACAGGTAGGAACTTTCCATCTCATCTGTGCTAGACAGTTGGCAATAATCACAGTGCAGATATCTGATGCCATCTGTTCTCAGTGTTGTCTTACACGAGCAACTCACAATTATAAAAGAACCGTCAGCCAAGTTGCTCCCTAAAAGTTTATTTTTCTCTGTACACATCCTAAAAATGCTTTTATAGTGTCGTTGTCATCTTTCTACTTTGGCAGCATCTGCTTATTTTGTTTAGTTTCTGTGTAATTTTGTATGACCTTAACAACCAACAGAATGTGAACTGAATACATGTTTTTGAGTTTGTCCTTGCATAATGCAACCTATGTTTATTAATATATTTTTGTGTTCTTGTTGCATAATGTATCCCTTCGTGCTCTGTAACCTAAAGCTACTACGCCCAACTTTTCATGTGATATTCTTATACAAATAGTCTATAACTGCTGCTGCCAAAGCTATTTATACAATACTGCCGTGTGATTTTTATGTTTGCACATCTTGGAGTCCACGCTGTCCTTTACCTATGCACACGATATCCATGAAGCCGTACATGCCATAGCAGATTTGGAAGAGCAGGTCCTGACGTTGCCACTTGGCCGAGGGGCTGAGGGAGGACCAGATGAGCCAGGAGATGCTGGCGATGAGGAAAAGAGAGCCCAGAATAATGGCCGCTATCTGCACCTTCTCTATCAC